AGTGGGCCTACCAGCTCCAGGGTGCCATTGGGAACTCATTCCCCTTCCTTTCCACTCAGAGGATATGTGTACATCTGCCTCACAGTCACAGAACAGCTACCTACCTCCAGCTTTGCATCTGTCTCCCAGGTGAGGGACAGAGAGAGGCCAACAGCACAAGGCCTATGCCAGCTGAATCTGCCTTCCTTTCAGGTACTTTCTTGGTGGCTGCACCTGGCAACTTGCCATTGCATCTCATTGATTAAAATTGATACATGGCTCTAACAGCAAAAGGAGTTGAAAAAGTGTTTCAGCTGGGCACATTACAACCTCTTTCTGTTGGATGGGGTCAAGGGGAGATGCAGATCATGGGGACATCAGCAGCCTCAACTTTTTTTTTTTTTTTTGAGACAGAGCCTCAAGCTATCCCCCTGGGTAGAGTGCTGTGGGCATCACAGCTCACAGCAACCTCCAACTCCTGGGCTCAAGCGAGTTTCCTGCCTCAGCCTCCCAAGTAGCTGGGACCACAGGCACCCACCACAACGCCCAGCTATTTTTTGGTTGCAGCCATCATTGTTGTTTTGGCGGGATTCGAACCTGCCACCTTAGGTGTATGTGGCTGGCACCTTAGCCACTTGAGCCACAGGTGCCGAGCCACTTCAACTTCTTTTGCCTACTTTTGTAACTGTGGTCTTTGCAGCAGACAGGTACTGGAGATGTGAACTGCAGGCCCCTCCCTGCCCTCACCCTGGTCTAACTCTGCCCTAATCCTGTGGTTCTGTGGACAAGCCCAGTTATGGGAATGCTGGGTGACTCTGATCAATGCTTGTTGCTGTCCCTGGGGGCTGGCCAAGGGTTCCAGGTGGGGCCTCAGGAGCCCTGCACTTGACTAAGGCCTAAGACTTTATCACAAACTCATAAATTCTTTGGCAGCCACAGCCCTTTTCTCTTAGCCACTAAGGCTGGCTCAGAACCAGGAGCCATATGCCCAAGAGAAGGCCAGGCCCAGCCCTTCTGGGAGGGAGAGACCACTCACCTATACCTACTGCCTACTGTCACTGGTCAGAATGGTCCTCTGATCCATGTGTCACTGTCACCCGCCGCCCCCAGGCCTTAGTCCCTCTCTGTGACAAGCTGGCCATCACATGTCCTGGTGGCACCCAGCCTAGCATTAGTGGTAAGGACCCAGCCGTGGACCCATCTTGGAGTGTGGACCAGAGTGTCATTTACTGGCTCCCCCTTAGCCTGAGTCTTCCAGGATCCTCTGGTGCAGCCCAGCCTGACCTGCCTTGCCTGGGCTGAAGGCTCTAACCTTATTAAAAATGCATGCTCCCGCTTCCCAAACACAGACGTGATTGATGAGAAGTGCAGTCGCTCTCGTCCAAGGCTGGCGGCCGGCAGAGGTTGTCGGCAGTGTCCTGCAAAGTCATCAGCCCTCGGCTCTGGCTGAGCTGGCTCAGGGCGTCTTTCTGTGCCAGCCTGCTGAATCACTGCTCACTGATCTGTCTGCCCTGGATCCCTTTGTCAAAATGCAGTAATTTAAAAGGGGGGACTGGTGCCCTGCTAGGGCTGGTGCCTTCTGGCATTGGTACAGCTGGTAGTCTGAGGAACCTGATCAGGAGCCCTCCCCGGGTACCAGGTCTGTGCTCCCCTCGACCTGTGGGGGCAAGGCATTCCACTCTTTCTCTGGTGAGGACCCAGGTGACTTAGCAGGTAAAGGGGAAAAACAACCAGTGTTGTGCTTCTGGGACCCACCTCATCGACATGAGGGACACTCACTTCAATGGCAGTGGGGGAGTGACCATGCTAGGAGGAGCATAGCAGGCAGGGGCACAGCCAGAACACCCCACACTGTGGACAAACACAGGGACTCAGAGGAAGCTGGGCCAGCCCACACATGGCCTCAGATATCTTAAAAGAATTGCTCTGGCCGCTGGGTTGACCTAGGCTGATTAGGAGTGAGAGGAGAAGCCAGGGAGTGACTTGGTTCCCTAGCCTACTGGATGTGGAGCGAGACTGATGGGGTGGCCTGAGCTGAGAGGCTTGGGGCAGGTTTGGCCAAGCCCGGGAGGGCTGGTGGGGTGTGTTCATGTGAAGTGTGTGGCAGACACCCCATGTGGGGAACCCAGCCAGGGGCAGGATGGAGGTTTCTTTCTGGAGCTCAGAGGGAGATGCCAGCCTTAAGTGCGTTTAGGAGTCAGCATGTTTTTAGCCTTGAGGCTGAATGAGATCACCAGTGAGTTCGTGTGGATAGTGAAGAAACAAGGTTGTGAACTGAGACTTGAGATGCTCCAATATGTAGGCATGGAGGAGAGGAGCTGCCAGGGGCTCTGGGACATGGGTCAGCAATGGGAGGATGCTACTGCCAGTCGGGCTTCCAGTGGGATCCCCAGAGCCAGTCCAGGCACTTTCAGGAGAAAGGGCTTCAAGTCATCAGAGGAGCTGGAGGAGTTCATGCCAGGCAGCCTCGAGAGCTGGGCATTGCAGGGAGCCGCTGCCTGGCATGGCTGCAGGGAATGAGCAGGATGCTTGTCAGTAAAGCCAGCGGCTGTCACTCTGGGGAGGGAGGAAGGGGTGTCTATCTCACTTGCATCTTCCACTGTCCTGTGACTGTAGCTGGTCAGCAGAACCCGAGCTGCACCCAGAACCCCAGCAGCACAGCTGACTGCAGGAGGCAGTAGGGAATGGGAACAACACTGTCCGCCAGAACAAGATGCAGAATATTCTCATACATGTCTGGAAACTGAGGCTTCCAGAGGTCATGTGGCTGGTCTGGGATACCTCAAGTCACCTTATCATCCTGTTGTTTTCTTGGCATAAAGACAACTGAAGAAATCACAAAGGAAAAGCTAGATTTGACCTCCAAAAAAGTAAAACTTTTATGAGTTCTGTATGCCAAAAAAAACATTCTGCAAATTTAAAAGGCAAATGAGAAACTCATAACTATCACGTTAATAACCATGTTAATAGCCTTACTATAGAGCAGTGGTTCTCAACCTTCCTAATGCTGCGGTCCTTTAATACAGTTCCTGTGGGTCACAACCCACACGTTGAGAACTGCTGCTATAGAGAGAGCTTATAAAACTGATACCCCAATAAATGTCAATTATGTAAATTGATAATTCATAGAAGAAATAGTCCAGTAAACATATGAAAATTTCACTACTAACTTAAAAATCTTTTTGGTTGTAGTTGTCATTGTTGTTTAGCAGGCCGGGCAGGGTTCAAACCCACCAGCCCTAGGGGCCAGCCGACACCCTAACCACTGAGCTATAGGCACTGAACCGAAAATAAGGTTCTTGAAACACAGACGCCCCCCAGCATCACCCCCACCCCCACCCCCAGGCCTTTCTGTTGCTGTGCTGGCAACACTGGATGTTCTCGTGCTCTTTCTTTTCAAAACTTCCTTTTGTGAATATACAACACATATCACACATAGGTTACAAGCCCCAGAACAATCCGAGGGTAAATAGGGAACAGCCCGTTCCCTCCAGCACTGCAGCGCCCACCTGTCTTTTATGCTTCACAAACTCTTGCAGAGATTTTCCTTGCTCGAGCATTGTTCTTTCTGATTTGTGGTTGCTATTTGGAGACAGGCTGTCTATTGCCCAGCAGAAGTGCAGTGCCGTGATCACAGCTCACTGAGCCTCAAATGTCAGGGCTCAAGC